CCCAGCTTGCTGAATGCGCCGTTTCATATCGGCCAAAAGTGCAACGAGAGGAACAACAACAACTGTTGTCAAGTGCGGCTCGACTAGTGCAGGGACAAGGAATAGCAGGGACTTACCAGAGCCTGTAGGTTGGATGGCAAGTATGCTAGATTTCCGGGAGATGACGGTGGTGACAAGCTGTGCCTGTTCAAATGAGCGGAAGGAAGGCGACAGCGAGTTGGTTGCTTTACCAAGTGCATTAAGCAGCTGTGGTGTGACAGGTGATCCTACAGTAGAGAGCAATATTAATTATGATTTTACATGTAAGGTTGATGAAAAAAAAGGATGTACCTTGCGGAAGTGCTGGTGGTGTCGAAGTGGTTGTTGACTGGCGCCTGTCCAAGTCATTTTGCACTTGCAAACGGTGTTGCATCTCGAGCAATGCAACGTTCTCAGCAGCAGCAACATTTGCCAGAAATTGTCCGTGTTGGACAGCAACTCTATCCTGCTCCGCCTGCGGAATAGCACCCGGAAAGAGATGACGCCCAGGGCCGACACCTGTAATAGAAGAATGGTGAATATATCAATGAATGGTTGTGAAATTATAAGGACGCAGATAACATACCAAGAAAATCATGCCACATTTCAGAAGCAATAAAATACTCTTCTATTGCTACTGAAGAAAGTGCTTTTGAGTCGGTCGATGCTTGTGCGTAGTTATGTGCGGCAGTTTTGGACGAGTGGCCTGCCTGCAGGTCCACTGTATAATTTGAGCCATGATGAGCCAGCAAATGTTGGATGTGATATCTTGAAAATGCGACTGATACATGGCGGTAATCTTGGAAACTCAGACGAGAAGGAAGGAGTTGATGCCAGCGGGCTTGAAAATATGTGCGGAGAAGGTCGGCTGACATTTTTACGCCATTGCGCACAAAGAAGTATGCCATCGTATCAAGCATTTTTTGTTCGGAATTTGAGCATTCATAAATGAAGAGGCTAGTGAAATAAATAGAGTTAGACATTGCATGGTAGACTTTTAAAATGTAAATACCTTTCTATGGGACGGATGAAGGTGATATAGTTAAGAAACAAGCGGACAAGAGAGTGAGGGATAAAACGGGCGATAGCTTGGTCGCGTTGTTTAATGTTACGTGTTTTCTGGTACGTTGTTAGAAGCATCAATGTTTGATGTTCATTTGACCAGTATAAGTTGCGTGTTGCATGTGTCGTATTTTGTAGTAAAGTGCCTTCTAGCTCTGTGGCCCGAGCTGTTTGGCCGTATGTGAGGTGCATTAGCATGAACAAATCGCGTTGGATATGTTCAGCTGTGGTGATGTAATTTTTAATGGTGGACAGATTGTAAGTTGTTTTGTTGTTTGTTATATGTTGAATATAATGACGGGATAAGTGTGGTGTGCTGTGTATGTGGTGAAGGATGTGGCCAAATTGATGCCGGAGGTTGTTTTTTGGGTCGGTAAAAAATGAATAATTGATATCACGATTGTTGAAATCGTCGTACAGATGTATGGGTTTGTTGTTGCGGAATTGAAGAAGGTTGTTGAGGTCGATGTTAAAGGTGAGTTTGTTGATGTTTTGCTGTATACTGGTTTTTAAGTTGGTGACTAAGAGACGCAAATCATGTACATGAATGCGCTCGTTCGTTTCGACCATAGCAAGTGACAGATGGTTTGTGTGTGGTGTCCATGTGATTTTGTCAGTGACAAATTCTGACGAGTCAGAGATTGACGCAATCCGGCTGTATTCGGCAATAGCAGCATATGCAGACGACTTGCCATCGATCAAGTAATCTTGGTAATTTGTGGTAAAGCTAAAAAAGAGTTTGTTAGGCAAGTGTGGAAGGTGTAATGTAGAATGGAAAAAGCAAAGAACTTACACTGTAATTAAGTTTTGATTTGTATGGCGTGTGTAAATATCGTTAAGTAAAAGTAAGCGGAACCAGTACTTGATCTGCGAAATAAAAGGTGCGATGGAGGTGACGTCTTTGAACTGCCCATTGAATTGCAAGGACGAAGCAATAACAAACCGAGCAATGGTATATCCATTGGTTGCGACATCAAAACGTTTTTCTTCTTTCAATAATGCCATCCACAATTTACAGATTTCTGATTCAATCTGTGCGGCGGTGTGTGTTGATAATTGGGCTGGATTGACATTTGTGGACAGTGTTGCGATATTGGTGAGTATGGTAGAAATAGTGGAAGACCAGGTACCCAAAACAAAAGACCAGTGAGGAGAACGACGGATGCGAAGTAAGAAGGTTAATAGATTGGCGCCAGTTTGGGTATACCGTTGGATAGTGGGCCGCTCAAGTTGGTTGAATCCGTGATCAGGGAGTGGTTCGGAGAGTCTAAAGAAAAGCAAATAAGTTAGAGTGGATGACTGAAACAAAGTAGATAGTTTCGACACTTACTTTTTCTGTTTAAGATAACGACGAAGGGTATAGTCTTTTTCAGGAATAGAGTTGTGCAAGCGGACAAAAAGCTGCTTATTAACTTTTGCTACAACTTTTAGCACATTTTCCTCTGCATGGATTTTCTTTGTTAAATCGTAGATAGTGACAGGGATGTTTCTTGATGTACGATTAGGATGTTGTTGTTGGTGTTGGTTGTGTGCTATAAAGAATAGTGAGCAAGTTGACAATGCTATAAATGTAGAATAGCTATCAAAGTAAAAAAAAAGTACCTGTTTTCCACTGTTCGACAATGTCATACCACTTTGTGTGAACAAAAAACCATGGGATAAGCTTGCGGTCGGTATCAACATTTGACGTTTGGCCAAAGGCAGGTTCCAGACGAGTAAAGGCATTGGCAATGATTGCATGATTGCTTAATAATGAAGCATCTGGTGCAGGTACAGTGACAGTTGGTTGCTCAGTTGGTGCAGCTACTGGCAAACCACAGTTTTGACAGTGGCGCTGCATTACTTGAAAGTGGGTAGTTTTAAACCCACAACGGCATTGGACATATCGCTTGGCATCGACAAGAAGTGCAGTTACGTTTCCTATAAAGTCATCAGTATTTCAATGTAATATAAAAGGTAAACGTCATAGGAAAGATACATACCATTATTGTTGGGATACTTGACATTTACTTTTTTCTGGTGTGTTTTGCGAATGTGTCGCTTACGAGCAGATTTTGAAGAAAAATATAAAATGCATTCATCGATACCGCAAAGAATACCTGAATGCTGTGTAGGTTGCGATGTACCCGGCTCTGTACTATCGCTTTCAGTACCGCTATTATTGCTAGATTCACTTTCTGAACCACTAGATGTAGAGGAATGTGCCGAACGACTAGGGTTATAGTTACTGCCACTATCATGTATGTTTGCATCGATAATGTTTTGGTGTAGACGGTGGGTGAATGATGATGTTGATGAAGGCAGAGCTGATTGGGGATAAGATGCCTGGGCGGAAAGTGGTGTAGACGAGATCACAGGAGCTGGACGTCTTTTGAAGACTATAAGGATGTAAAAAATTAGAGATTGTAAAAGAGTAAAATGACTATGGATACATACTTTTGCTTAGAGTAGGTTTGCGATTATCTGAAGTGTTTTGAAAGTTTGACAATTGAATTATTTTTAATAAGTAGAAAATGACAGTGTGAATACTTTTATAAGTTTACCTTGGCTGATATCTGAACGCTCTGAAATTGCAATTGACGACTTTTGGGTAGATTGGAATACCGGTTGCTGTGTACGTACAGCACTGGGCTGAGCCCGGAACTTTCCTTTTTCCAAGGCAGAACGACGAGGAGCAACTAGCGACTGGTTTGTACGTGCACCAGAATGAGCATTTCCTACTGGAGAGCTTGATTCTACAACCTTTCTCTTTTTTAACAAAGGAGGGGAAGCAGCCTTTGGAGCTAAAAAAAGAAGTGCATTTTCATTTTCAGAGAATCAGATGTAAATAGGAAAGAAAAATGAGAGAGGAATGATATTTACAAGTAGCAGCCTCTTGGGAATCATCCCAGCTAAAATCCGATGGAAGACTTTCCAAGGAGTTTCTACGTTCTGGACGAGGTGAACGGTTACCCTGACGTACAGGGAGCAAAGCAATAGCTGGTGAAGCCAACAAGGGAGACGATTGGCCAGCAGGCAAAGCAGGGAAAGGCTCTTGCTGCGGCAGCAAAGGCGAAGGCGAAACCGGGTCCTCAATAGGCAACTGGCTGTTGCCAGTGACGAACGACTTTGCCAACGAAGCCCACGAGCGGACCTTGGAAGCATAAGAGTTGGAGCTATTGGCGGACATGTTTGAGTTTAAGGAGGTTTTCTTGAAAAAGCTATTGTTAAATGATTAGTACATCGGAATCACTTTTAAAAATAAAGGGAAAAAGATGATTTTCAAATAAAGGCTAAAGAGTGAAAATGTAACTGAATGATAGAAATAGAAAGAGAGGGGAAAATCCACCTAAATAACCTAAAAGGAAAGAAGGGAGAAAAATCTACCAAAAGAACGGAAAAGGAAAGAGAGGGAAAACTCTACCCAAGTGACTGAAAAGGAAAGAAAGGGGAAAAATCCTCCAAGTGACTGAAAAGGAAAGACAGGAGAAAATTCCACTAAAATGACTGAAAAGGAAAAGAGGAGAAAAATCTACCCGAGTGACTAAACAAGAAAGATAGGAGAAAAATCTACCAAAACGACTAAATAGGAAAGAAAGGTAAAAAACTAATGAAATGACTAAATAGGAAAGAAGGGAGAAAAATCTACCCAAGTGACTAAATAGGAAAGAGAGAGGAAAAACCCACTAAAAAGACAGAAAAGGAACCAGGACTTTTATATAGTAAAGAGCAGCTGTACACTCACATTTAAGTAACTAAAAGTTGGGGGAAGGAGAAAAGTGTTTCAAACGTTGGCTCTTTATATACTTTTTTCTGACTTTAAAGACTGAGCTTTAAAGAGATGGTGACTGGCTTTGATAGATTCCAGAAGGTTCTACAGTATCTTGATCATTTTTTCAAAAGGCTACATTTTTTTGTGAAGACATGTTTTTTATTGAAGACATTGATGATTTTATTTGGTGGAAAAAGAGAAGAAAGTTATGATGGAAAGGGAGAGAGAGAGACAAAATGAATTTTCTAATGACCAAAAGTATGATAATAACGGCCATACGCACGTTCTTGACTCTTGGCTTCAGCCATCATATTTACTAATGACTGAATATGATGTAAGAAGAAGCCAACATTCTCGAACGATGTCAGATAGTTCATTGTAGGAATGATTGGTGTGATTAAAGGACGCAAAGGAGAAAAGTCATTTTCCTCCAAATAGGCCCAGTTGTCCGAGGAGAACTAAAGAAAGTATGTTAGTAAAAAAGTAGGGTGAGAAAGAAAAAGGTTACGTACGGAGAGGAAGAAAGGCCAGTTAAACTTGTCGGAAAAGAGGATTGGCCAGGCGCCAGCTTGCTTGTAGAAAGCCAGCATACGATAACCGACAGTTATTGTATGGCTAGGCTTGGCAGATCTTGGCAATCCAACTAGAAAAAGAGGAATTAGAAATAATTTGTGTAAGTTTGTATTTGGAAAGTACCTTTCGCCAATTCATTCAGTTCTCTCTTGTAGCCAAGTTGATTCAGATTACCGCCATTCTTGTAGTGGAGGTAAGCGCACAAGATGGCACGGACGGACTTTATCAATTTTTGATCTAAAGCTTCGAAGGGTGTTCCGCTGATTGCATGGTGGATGATTTGCTCTGGTCGCTGTTCATTGTAGTTACGGATATAACTAAAAAAGTTGATGCCTAGAATCATTTTCGGCGTGGCGACCTGGTCGCCACGGCGAAAATGATGACAACGATGACAACGGAAATTTATTTCAAGTGGCGACCGATGACAACGGAATGACAACGGGATTTGGGCAATGTAATTGGTGGAAAATGGCGAATCTACTGGGGAACAGCAAAGGGCGCTCCACTTTTATTTTTCTCTGCCACAAAAAATACTTTACTGTACTCTTTTTTTTAATGTAAAAGCGAAGACGGTTTCAAAAAAAAAGGTAACACATCTTATGACGACCTCGCTGAAGAACATTCTGGCATTGGGGAGGGCGGCCATGTTTTAATTAGTAGATGGAGCAGAATTGTGTTGACGGATTTTGTTTCTATAGGAATTGGACTCGCTCCAACGATTACTGTTTGAATCTGGTGTAAATTTACAAGGAAAAGAGGTAAAGGCTAGCCGTCTTTTTGCTCGTGAACGTTCTGTGCGGCCTTGTGCGTGTACTTTTGTTTCTTGTGTTAATGATTTCCTGTACATTGTATAGCCACGATGGAGAATGGCGGTGCTATTTCATGTACAACAACAAAAATAACAGCAATAACCACACAAAGCGACGACGGTCTCACGATCCACTGATTCAAATAGCATACAACGACAACCAGTCGAACGAGCAGCTTCTTCCGAACACGACGGTCGTAGTGGCATGTCTCTGCGATTGTTTTTGAAGGAGTGACAGCAGGAACAGTCGGTGGATATGCGATTGTATTACACCCTACTGGCAAAAATAAAAGTAACAACCACGAAGACGACGACGGTCTCACGAACCATGGATTCGAATTGTACACAACGACCACCAATCGAACGAGCAGCGTCTTCCGAACACGACAATTGTTGTAGCATGTCTCTGCGATGGTTTTTAAAGGAGTGGCAGCAGGAACAGTCGGTGGATATGCAATTGTATTACACTCTACTGGCAAAAATAAAAGTAACAACCACGAAGACGACGACGGTCTCACGATCCACTGATTCGAATTGTACACAACGACCACCAATCGAACGCGCAACTTCTCCCGAACACGACGATTGTTGTTGCATGGCACTGCGATGATTCTGGAAGGAGTAGGGACAGGAACGGGGATGGATATGCGATTCTATTATACACCAGGCAACAAAAGAAATAAATTAGCACCCACCAAAAAGAACGACGTTTTTTGCGATCCTCTACTGTTATTCTCTGTCTCTTTACTACTATCGTCATCCTCGTCATCATCAAATCACCACCACATTATCATCATCATGGGCACCACACTGCCGCAAAAGTAAATTTGTCTTGTCATCTGTTGCGTTATATCTACTTGAGCTGTGTTCAGCAGGAGTGCTCGGAGAAATGGTGCTTCCGGCGCCATTGGCGTTTTTATTGGGCAAAAACAGTGTGATTTCCACAAACTTTTTCAAGTGGCGATCGATGACAACGGGATTTTTGAAGTGGCGACCGATGACAACGGAATGACAACGGGATTTTTGATGTGGCGACCGATGACAACGGAATGACAACGGGATTTTTAAAGTGGCGACCGATGACAACGGAATGACAACGGGATTCGGCCAATGTAATTGGTGGAAAGTGGTGAGCAAGACAGAAAAATAGCAGGGGAGCCAGCTCCACTTCTTTTATCATTTATTTTTTTTACTCTTCAGCACACTCGTTTACTGCCGCTTTTTATTCTATACATATTGAAGCAAGGGCGCTTGCAAAAAAAGGTATCTAGCTTAAGGGATGTTTATATGCTGGAAGAGCTGTGGCATTGGGATGGCGAATGGTTTAATCTCTTTTACTAGTAGCAATTGCTGAAACTATTAGCCACTTGACGAGGACAGCAACGTACTCCAGTAGCAACAGCAGCACTACAGCAACAAACGTTACAACAAACGGAAGTTACTGCATCTCACGACAACAGTCAAAGTTAATTACCATACGAACGACGTGCCACATTGAAGTATGACCACAGCACACAGACAGCAAAACTTGCACCAGTCTATACAGTACAGGCCGCTTTTTTTGTATACGCTATACGAGCATGCGAATAAAGAAAGGACAACGTCGAATATATGCGATTAGCTTTCTTCAAGGAGCATCAGCCCTGGCGGTACGTGTTTATTCTTTTTTCTAACAAGCAAACTGGCAAAATCAAAAAAAGCAGCAATTCTCGCACGGCCATATCGCATCATCGAGTACCCCAAATAACAAACCGCTTAGTGTGCCAGAATAAGGACGAGCTGACGAACGTGCCGCTTGTGGTTTGGCGTCTCTACCATGTCATGACGACGAGCAACAGCCAGGAACGCTACACGTGCATTTTATAGTGGATCATATATATATACACCAAAGTCAGCTAAAAATAAGGAGCGATACCCGCACGGCTATATCTCATCATCCAGTACTCCAAATAACGAACTGTTTAGTGCAGTAGAATCAGGACGAGCTGACAAACGTGACGATATTAATCTAGTGTCTTTACCATACCATGTCGACGAGCAACAGCCAGAAACGCTACACGTGCACTTTATAGTGGATCATATTCATATACACCAAAGTCAGCTAAAAAAAGGAGCGATTCCCGCACGGCTGTATCTCACCATCAAGTACTCCAAAAAACGAACTGCTTAGTGTGCCAGAATCAGGACGAGCAGACAAACGTGCCGCTGGTGGTCTGGTGCCTCTACCATACCATGTCGACGAGCAACAGCCAGAAACGCTACACGTACACTTATAGTGTATTCTATATATATACACCAAAGTCAGCTAAAAAGAAGGAGCGATACCCGCACGACGATATCTCGCCATCCAGTACTCCAAATAACGAGCAGTTTAGTGTGCCAGAATAAGGACGAGCAGACGAAGGCGACGATGTTGGTCTGGTGTCTCTACCATGTCGTGTCGACGAGCAACAGCCAGAAACGCTACACGTGTACTTTATAGTGGATCATATATATATATACACCAAAGTCAGCTAAAAAGGAGCGATTCGTGCACGGCCATATCTCACCATCGAGTACTCCAAATAACGAACCGCTTAGCATGGCAAAATAAGGACGCACGGACGAACGCGACGATGTTAGTGTGGTGTCCGTAGCATATCTTGCCGATGAGGAACAGCAGTGAAAAAGAGCGTGTATATTATTATAGATCAAGAGCGGCCTGAAGCAAATGAGGATCGCTACAAGGATCCAGGCATGGCGATATCCCATTATCACATAGGTAAGGATGAGAAGGATACCATGAATATAATGACAGTAAAGCTATATTCTTCGATGGCTCCGTGGAAAGCAACGGCAATATGCAGGTAAGGAAGCAATAGCATTTTTTGAGTGTATAGTATTAGCATGCTTTAATAAACTGGTATTTCATGAAATGAGATTCTGTTGTCGTGTGAAATACAAAAGAGCTCCATGTGCTTTAAGCTTAAAAACGCATTAGTAAATGTGGCATCTGCGGTTCTGATGCATGTTCGTATATGAAAATCCAGTCAGTGGAAGCTGATGAGTTGTATACCTACAGTCTATACAGCTTTCTGCTGTAATTTGTCTTTGGACGCAAAGACGCTATTTGATTGCAACGGAATAAAATGACCGGATTGTCGATTTTCTGTGTAAGAGACACTGGTTTGCCCAGTTGAAAATGGAAACTGCAACTGAAAAGAGAGCATCAGCATCAACACGTCGTCGTTGAAGCTTATTGTGGAGCTGGATGTTTGTTAAAAAAAAGGAAACAGCAGCATTTTCGCTGTTATGCAGGCTTCTTCCTACGACAGACACAGATGCAAATTCTTTTATTCACGCGATCCAACAGATCTCAGTACATTGTCATGATTTCAAGCAGCTACGCTACTGATGAACATAGGACATCGTGGGGCATTAAGACACTCAATAGGCTGAAAAGAAGGGTATTAAGCGCAACGGGTTTAGGGGCCTGGCAGCGAACGCCAGTGAGCGAGCAGGTTTAGTCGAACGCGCAAGTCCTGGTCCGGGTTTACTAAGGTTCCGGGTTTAGAGTTTCCAATTGATGAGCTTGGATGTATATGGGACTCTCTTCTTCTTCTCCACCACCTCTTATTTTGGATTGTTTTATTGTTGGCTATTTTATCTACTTCTTGAGTGCTGATGTATGTGTACCTGTACTAGAGAGATAATTAACCTGTGTCGGACACATATTAGTAGATAACGTGAATGGCAGTGACCAATATTTTGCTGTAAAGAAGTGTTGATTACAAGCATAAACGGATGGGAAAGGCAGAAGGAACGTGAGGAAACGACAAGGCAAGGCGAAAAGGTGATGGCATCCATGGTCTTGAGCACCGTGTTTGGGTAAAGTCCCTTTCAAGGTGCAGCGCTCCTCAAAGAAAAATTTTTTTATATGAAAGGTAGCTTCTGCATCTCTTTCGCTCTTTCACTTCTTTGTATTATTTTATTACTTACTGCTCACCGCCATTTCAACACTCGAATTGCCATCTTGCACACGCTCCGTCGGAATCCAGCTTTGCCGCATCTGACGTTCCTTTTGAACACCACTCGAACTACACTCGTCCTATCTTCTTCACGCAAGCAACATTCGTCTTGTACGCTTTCTCTAATCTCAACACTCGAATTTTACACATCTCGCACTTTTTCCTTTCAACACCAATAAAGCATCTCGAATGAAACTCATCTCTTGTCCTCAGTCCTTGTGTGTGTTTTTTTTGTTTTTGTTTAATGATTTCCTGTACATTGTATAGCCAAGATGGACAATGGCGGTGCTATTTTATATACAGCAACATATAGAGCAGCAAAAATAACAGTAACAACCACGAAGACGACGACGGTCTCACGATCCACTGATTCGAATTGTACACAACAACCACCAATCGAACGCGCAGCGTCTTCCGAACACGACAATTGTTGTAGCATGTCTCTTCGATGGTTTTTGAAAGAGTAACAGCAGGAACGGAGATGGGTGTGCGATTGTATTATACTCTACTGGCAAAAATAATAGCAGCATTCACAAAAACGATGACGATCTCACGATCCACTGATTCGAATTGTACACAACAACCACCAATCGAACGCGCATTTTCTTCTGAACACGACGATTGTTGTTGCATGTCTCTGCGATGATTCTGGAAGGAGTAGGGACAGGAACGGGGATGGATATGCGATTCTATTATACACCAGGCAACAAAAGAAATAAATTACACCCACCAAAAAGAACGACGTTTTTTGCGATCCTCTACTGTTATTCTCTGTCTCTTTACTACTATTGTCATCCCCGTCATCATGTCATCATCACCACCAGAATAATCATGGACACCACACTGCCGCAAAAATAAACTTGTCATCTGTTGCGTTATATCTACTTGAGCTGCATGTTCAGCAGGAGTGCTCGGAGAAATAGTGCTTCCGGCACCATTGGCGTCTTTTATTGGGCAAAAACAGTGTGAAATCCACAAACGTTTTCAAGTGGCGACCGATGACAACGGAATGACAACGATGACAACGGGATTCGGCCAATAAAATGTGGTGCTGACAACGGAGTGTGCTTGGGGGAAAATGGGAGGCAACAGCTCTACCACTTGCCTAAACAACTTTTCGTAATTGCGGTAGATGATGAACACAACATTTCGACAAGACCTGCTCAATACCAACTAAATCAGCACACAACAGTTATGCGTACAATAAAGGCTCTTCAGCAGGATGTATTGCTCAATAACGACAGGCTTTATAAATCACGACAGGATATTGCTTATATCAGGTTCGTTGGGTGTGATAAGCGTTTATTCTATTGGTAAAAGAAAATCTAAAAAGTGATAAAGAGACAGAGACAGAGACAGAGACAGAGAGAAAGAGTATATATAAGATATGTGTGTGTGTTGTAATAAATGAAAATAGAGAGACAGAGAAATGTGTGTGTGTGTGTGTGTGTGTGTGTTGTAGACAGATTTGTATGTAGGGGGCAAGAGAAGAGGGAAAAGAGGTAGGAGAGCTGACGGAAAGAAAGGCTTAGTGTTGGTCCGCGTGTCGCTCTTCCTCCACAATAAGCTCTTCGAAAATCTGTAAAAACAGTTTCATGGCGTTGCCAATATTGTCGAGGTCCTTGTTGGATAACCAGCTTGCAAACTCCTGGTCCGTTGTTGGGAAGGTGGCACGGCTGTCTATGTCCGGACAGTTTTCGGCGAGGAAGCGGGCACGGTCGGCGTCTTGGTTGCGTGTGTTGAAGACTGCCCAACAAGCAGGAAGCACCGTGTTTGCGATTGCCGGGTTACAACCTCTACTTCTGCATTGATAAAGGCTGTTGTGGAATGGAATACCACATGTGAAGCACATGCCGGGTCTATGACACCAGAAAAAGAAAAAAAAAGTAAAGTAAGTATGCAACTATAATACATCCGTAAAAAGAACGGTACTGCAGAGACATACGTGTATTTGATACAGCGATGGTAACCATCAAAACGTTTATATTCCTTGAAGCAATAGCCGTCGTGGCCGAACGAATCCCTTGGTAGGTAACCGCAACTTTGCCCGTACACCAGCACGCAATGAATACAGACTTGGCTTCTGTAGATGTTTTCGGCCTTTTCAAGTACTCTGTCGTTGTAGTCACGGTGGGTGTTGTGGATGGTGTTGCTTTGTTGCTGGCCTGCAACAGATTCGATGGAAGGTGTGTTCTAATAATGAAAGAGAAAGGAATGAGCCAAACATGTTCAAGACTAACAAAGTTGTTGTAAAGAGAGAAAGGCGAATGCATACCGTTGTGCGTGGTGCTGGAGGCTCGACTGTACTGTCCTCTGTGGTTTCCACCTCGAGTTCCATGGATATCCTTGGTACTTGACGACGGTCTTGGCGGGGGGGACGGACTGGACCAGCCAGCAAAACCGAACAGTAGCCACAGTCTTCATAAGTGTTGTCGGCGAGGCAGTTGACAGATGCGGTACCATCAAGGTACTGTTGTAATTGGAAACGGATGCAGCTATTAGCCTGGGAAATATGATATTAGTTATGATGGTTTCTAAAAGAAGAAGTGATCGTATGTATATATTAATAAGTTGAAAACTTGTGTAGTACCTTGACAAATGTAACCAGCTCCTCTGCATCCTTGATCTTCAGTTGGTCTTCTTGCTCGTCCTTCATCCTGGTGATCCTGTTCTCTTCGCGATCCAGCACGAAGTACAACTGGCACGTTGAAGGTAGCCCGTCGCGACCAGCACGACCAGTTTGCTGGGCATAGTCCAACAAACTGTAGGGCAACCCCCAGTGAAACACCACGCGCACGTCAGGGGCATCGATGCCCAACCCGAAACCAGAGGTAGCCACCATGATACCGCTGGTTTGGTGCATCCACCTGTCCTGCTGTTCTTGCTTTTCTTCGTCGTCAAGGTTGCTGTGGTACTTGCAGGCGTTGAGCTCTGTGTACTGGTCGGTTTGGACCAGGAACTCGTGTAGGTCATTGACCTTGGTAGTGGACGTGCAGAAAACAATACCGCGGACATTGCTGTGATGATGGAGCAATTCGTTGGCTAACGTCGTCATGATTGCGTGGTTTGATATGGTGTTTTCCTGTGGGTGCAAGGAATATGCGAGGTTGGGGCGGGAGGTGGATGGTGTACGAATCGTTGCAAAGTTAGACCCGTAGAAAATACGGGCCTCGTCTTCCATAGAAGGCGGCAACGTTGCAGTAAGTAGTAGGAGCGGGACGGGGATGGACCGAAGGACTCGAAGCTTTAGCATGGCCACACGGAAGGACAACCAGGTGAGGCCCAAGTGGCACTCATCAACCACGAAACGAGAGATCCGGCTTTGCTGCTCAAAGCAGAAGGTGACAAAGTTTGCGGTGGCTACATGCTCGACCGCGACAAGCAGGATCTGCGCATTTGTGTTCGTTGCGCGACCAGCTAATAATAGCATAGGAAAAAGATAAGTATATGATTGCAGAATTTGTGCTGAAATAAGATGTTGGTTCAAAAGACTTACATTGCCACAAGGCTGTGGATATGTTGGCATGGGTTAAACGTCGAACATGATCGCCAGTCAAGGCCACCAAAGGAACAACAACAATGGTGAGCATACCGGGTTCAAGGAGTGGTGGTACCGAGAACAGCACGCTTTTGCCCATGCCTGTGGGTAGCACAACGAGCAGATCGAGCTGGCGCTCCATGATCAGAGGCAAAGCTAAAGCCTGCTCGCGAGACCGGAACGTGGCATTATCGTCGTCAAGGAATTGGCGCAAGCCGTTGATGTGTTCAAGGAGGACGGCTGTAGAGAGAAAAGGTAAGATGAGTGAAAGAAGGAGACGGAGGTAGACGAAATATAAAACAATCATGGCAAAAACTCACGCTTGTATACGATAATTGGTGAGATATCGCGGGTGGTCTTTTCGTGGATGGCAACAACGAACCGTTCTGCGGCCTGCGCAAGAAGGCTGTTGACCTGACTAGGTAATTGAGAGAGAGGAGGAGCAAGGGCGAGAGGCTGCTGTTGTTGAGGTTGTTGTTGAGGCTGTTGCTGAGGTTGTTGTTGTTGAGATTGTTGTTGAGGAGGCGTGGATGGCGTGACATGGTCGGCAATACCTACATAATCAGGGAATGCGTAATTAATTCACTTGTCTCTTTTGTCTATATGATCTACGAGAATTATACATACCCAACAAGCTCTGCCATTCACGGGAGCAGAGGTCGAACTCGTGTATTGCTTCAGATGATAAATACCGGAAATCGCTGGGAGTACGGGCGTAAAACATGCCGGCTGTAGAACCGCTGTGTGCAGCCTGCAGATCAAAGAATTCAGTGTTCAATGAAGGGGCACCACGGACGACGGCTCGAGCGGTGGCGTGCTGCCGTTGCTCACTAGTCGTTGAGGGCAGATCCACGTTTTCATCGTTGTCCAGGTCTGAATCCGGGTCACCACGGATCTCCTGTGGGCTTTCCAAGAAAGCTCTGCTTCTTTGCAAGTGATGGCGCATGAAGAACGTGGCTACTTGGCGGTATCCTTGGAGGCCAAGTCCAGCTCCAGCAAAGTCCTTCAAAAAACTGTTGATGCATGTTTAAAAAGGGCAAGTATATCAATTAATTATGTGCACTGTTGTTGGGTATTTCTTAGCTGACATGTATATACGTACCGATATAGCTTCTTACTGAGCTCGCTACCTGTAACGACGTTTCCGTTGGCCACGAACAAAAAGTTCTGGTAGTTTTCTATGCCGACCTGGACATCCTCACCAGCGCGGGTCTCCTTGAAGGCGAAACTGCAAACGATTCAATTTCAACAATTTGGGCAAATAAGCAAACCAGCATCGCAAATTCAATACATTGTGAAGCGCGCTTTGGCAAAAAAAAACAAGAATACAATACATACCGTTCGAAAGGGCGGACGAGGACAAGGTACATGAGCAAAATATCACTCAATTCCTTTGTGAGGAATCGAGCAATATATCGGTCACCAGTAGCACGCGAACGACGCTTGTAGTAGTATTGCACGAGCATCACTTTTTCACGGTACCAGTAGACACCACGTCTTGCACCACGGGCAGATGAGCGGATCGTTGTGGCAGCAAGCTCCTCGCCACGAGCAGGCTGGCCGCTGGTAAGGTGGACAAGCACCATGATGATCATTACGAGCTCTTGTGCTTGTTGAAGCCAGGCGAAAAGGCTGTCGAACTTCCACACGAGATTGCCACTAGCAGTGACACCAGTAACGAACTCGCTGGTGTGCTCAATCGCCAGGTGGTTCATTAAGGCCGTCAGGTATGTGGGATCGGCAGTGGCGTTGCCAGCACGCGAAAAGAAGTCGACGGAGGGATCCTCGCTTCGTGTTTCGTCAAGGATAGAGGAGGTGGAAAAGGGGACTTGCAAACGGTAACCACGCAACACGCGATCCTCCAAGTGGGTACGGCAATGACGAAGGAGGCTTTGACACCAACCTGGATATTGCAAAGGTCGACCCTGGTGGTGCGGTATTGGATCGACATGAGGTTATCGTCCAGGATCAGAACGGAGGGCTCAGGTGGGTGATCGCCGCTCGCCAAGGTCGCCGTCCGCATGGTCTCTTGGAACATATTCATGGCCGTTGGGACACCATCGCGAAGCCAGTAGAGGATTCGTTCTGCTTCCTCACTAACAAGGAAAAAAAACAAGAGGTATGATAAGCACAAATTATGCAAGTTAACGCGAATTCAATAGGCACGAAAAAGAACCAGAAAAAAAAAGCAAGTGTTGGTATATATTTACCGGTCAATCGTTCGCTGGGCATCCTGGAAGGCTGGATCGGTCAGTTGCTCGACATTAGCATAGGTACCGGCTTCTTCGTTATAATCAAAGTGGGTGTTGCTGTAGTAGTTGGACATTGTGAAAGCGTAAGTGAAAGCGGTTATTGAAAAGAAGTTAAAGTAGGTGTGTGAGTGGGTGTGTATATGGGGCTATTTTGTTGTTGCAAATGCGGCGTCTTTATATAGTTTTTCATTTCTCGTTGGCACATGTACTTTGAGCAAGCATCTTTTGTATAGCAGTAGACGATATGCCGGGCTTTGAAGATATAAACTAATAAAAGAATAAAGGGAGACAATGTTCTTTACTGCCAAGTATTAGCCTCGATATGTGGCAAGGTACCTGTCTGCGTTGTTGAATGAGAAAACTAAAAATAAATCAAAGGGGTGTTGTGTGCCAAGACGAGCCGCAAAGTGGCGTGGCAGAATTATGTGAGTTGTAAGCAGAAGAAGCTTTGTGGCGCACATGTGAAAGTGGGGGTGGCTGTTATCTGTCATGTTCTTAAAATAGATCGTGATCGACAATACAATCCGACAGAGAAGTTGCCAAGACGAGCCACAAAGCCATGTGGCAGAATTACGTAAGTTGTGAGTGACAAGAAGAGCTTTTGTGGCGCACATGTGAAAGTAGGGGTGGCTGTTATCTGTCATGTTCTTAAAATAGATCGTGCTCGACAATGCAATTCCAACCACAAAGTAGTGTGGTGTAAATTAAACAGGTACAATGTAACTTCCTATCGCGCACTTATGGCCGTATAGTACAATGTAGCGCAACTTGGCAATAAAGCACAGAGATAAAAATAATTATGTGGATGTGGCAGAGAAAGGATTATGTGATCAATATAAAAACACTACTATTCTGCGGTATTATTTTTTTTTCATCCAACAACAGCCACTATATCATGAACCCTCCCGAACAACCTACAAACAACAGCGGTCAGCCTAGTAGCTCTGGTGCGGTATGCCGTAGATGTGGACAGCATGTGGAAACAAGCATGGATACCCATAGAAAACAATTTCACCAAAAGCAAGTTACGGTAACATTGCGCAATTATGGTATGTCATCATATTGGGGTTGGGGTTGTATTGTGCTTACTCGTTAAAAATATGAAAACGTTACTCATATGTGTTTGTGCAGCAACGCTTACTATTGTAGTGGACAGGGTCGGCGACGGCGCGCCAGGCTTTGTAACATGCCCGCAATGCCAACATGTTGAAGGCGTCTTGAACTTCCATCGCCATTTCATTGACACTTGCAAGGCCCTTCTTGATCCTGCAACAGTTAGCCAGTCGCGATTATACAGAGCTCCACGTCGACCACAGCCGCAAGAAAGCCGGTCCATGTCACCTACATTGCCTGCTCAACAACCTCGTTCTGCCCACCGCCGCGCACATCCACAATATCTAGCTTTACATGCAGTAGCAGCGCCAGCAGTGGTCCAGCAACAGGTTCAGCAACAGCAGCCCGAGCTACAGCTGGGAGCGATGGACGTTGATGAACAACAAGAACGGCAACAGCAATCGCCAGAGCAACAACCGGTACTAATGGATGTTGACAACGATGAAGAAGCGCCAATGGCTCATGGTAAATAAAAATGATGTTGCTGTTGCTGTAGCGTATGTAAAAAGGCTCATACTGATATATGCTACCACGTTTATAGAGCGTGCTGCTTTGATTGGCAGATTGGGTCTTATTATTGACCGTACGAGTGGCCTGCTTTTCTGTTCCAACCGGAACCACGATAACCGATATGTGTTTATTCCAACGACTGAAGCATATAGCCATATCCAGTCAACCCATCGTATGCTCGCTCCCAGTATTAATCAATACTCGCAAGAAGAATTCACCAATCTACTGTATGCCCAAGGTGCCAAAGGAGTTGATGTGACAAACAAATACCGGTATGCACAGCATCTTACCACCGAACTGCTTCCTCGCGTTGGTGTACTTGGGGATCCTGAGCCTGGATTCGCATGCAACCATTGTGGCTACTACTGTAAAGCGGCAGCAACACGTCGTCATCACCATTGTCCTGTCTCATCCACCGGATCCTATGATGAACGTTTCAGCCGCTGTCTGGTGCAAAAACTCGGTGCACGTCAAGATATGCCATATTTTGGCGTCTTATCCAACAACATCAACATCGAGAGTAACAACCGCCTACTTTCTACTGCCCCAGATGTTCTTCGTGCCGCATTGCAGCGTTGTGCTAGTGAGAACATGAACGTCTTGCAGCATTATGGCGCTCAGCACCTAAATCGCGAGCCCAACACGGCGAGCGCCGTGCAGTTGGCCGCTTCCACGAGATTATGCGCTGGGAAATGATTGTACGGAAAACTTTGAACGCAACACCAGATACTACCGAGTCCCGCGCAGAGCTTGCTAGATGGGCTTCTTTATCTGACGTAAACGACGAAACTGGCCGTTCGATCCATGCTACGGTGACAAGATACTTGAAGGTTATTGATCGAACTACTCGCGGCACCTCTTATTACCTCGAGCGCCGAATGGTGATGGGCTTAAGGTATGCTTACTTTTTCAAGAGAAAGTTGATATATGTATGAAGTATTACTTTAGTCACTGACAGTTGTGTACACTAGCTATGACGATGTGCCCAACCGAGGTATTACACAACTGATGCCAGCAACACAGGACCAATATGAGCGTCATTATGCTTCCTTTATAATGATGCTTGTGCGTGCGTGCCAACGTGGTAACGATCAGCCGTTTTCTGGTCGTGCAGCGGGTATTATGAGCCACAACCAGTACCTGTGCGTCTGCTATCTTGTGGATGTTCTGGCTCGGGCAGATTTTCCTACTGAGGATTCTACCATACCTGAGGAGGCATTGCATCGCCTTCAGGACTTGAACGAAACCCTATTAATGAGTAGGGAGTGTGGGTCCTTTCGTATTTGGCCTGCCCGGTTGTTTATGGTGTTATCCAACATCACTCAAGCAGGAGCCTGGAAAGAACTCCCAAAAACTACATCGGATATTGCCAAGCTACAGTACTTTGTCCGTTTGACTGGACTGGTCAAGTTACTTGGGGCAGAAGGCAGTATGTATAAGAAAAGAGAAATACGAAAAAACAAAACGTGTGTCCTCATATATTGTTTTTAGTTAACGTCCTGACGGCTAGCCCAGCAGCAACAACAGCAGCACAAGAAGAACCGCAATAATTTTATATAATAAAAATGTGTGTAGTTGTTGAACCCGCGAAAAAAAATTCTTTTTCCTTCTTTCTTGTGAAAGCACCAAATAAGCAGTATGGGGAAGAAAAGGGTGTTTTATTAATATGTGCGTAGTGCACATTAGTTCGAGAACCGAAGTCTCTTTTATTTGTTTACCATGAACGACTCACTTGCTACCGTTTTGGATTTATCGTTGAACATCCGTGGTAAAAAAAAAGAACCAAAAAAAAAGAAGAAAGAGATGAATGATGGAGGGATGTGCAATCGTCAATCTGTACTGAGTATGCTTTTTTTTTCAAATTAGACAAGGATGCTGTGATGAAAGAAGTAAAAGAAGTTTTTGCCAAGCACGGCTTTACTGTTGAATTCAATAAGAACACTGTTGACGCTGTAAGTCCTAATGGGAAGAAAAGGATGGGAGAAAAAAAGTTCATTAGGCTGATGGAGTTTGTTTCGGTTAATTTGAAGCCATTGCCATCGCCATCTGGCGTTGGTGCTAATACTGCTACTACTGCTCCTACTACTACCACTACGACGACGATTGCCGGCGACCACAAAAAGCACGGTAAAAAAAGGGAAAGGGAAAAAAGGGAAGCGTGTGTGAATACAAGGAGAGAAGAACGGGTGCTAATACAGTAGTTTTAGCCTATATCTCCACCTGACTATCTTGCATCGATTCAACAACGAAAGAACGACGCTTTTTTGCGATCTATTGCGAGGGAGACGCGTGCCGAGTTTGAACGGGATCGGCGAGCTGGAGAAGAGGAGGACCGCCGGTTGCGAAGACAGCAGGCAGCAGCAGCAGCAGCAGCAGCATCTTCTTCATCATCATTAAGAACAACAACAGCAACAACCAGTAACAGCAGCAACAACAACGCGACGACAATGATCCCCAGCAGCAGCAACAATGACAACAGCAACAACAATCCAAGTGTGAGCGTGCAAGAATGAGAAGGTATGCTTTTAGTTTTTGTAATGTTTCAGTTGTAGGATTGAACGCTTTGCTAATTGTTTTTCACTTGAAGATTCTGCTCGTATGGTTTATGATCTGGACGACGAAGACATTGACTTGAACGATTTTGAGGAGACCCCTACTACTACTGCCGCACCAATACATCATCATCATCAAACAGCAACAACGCCGCCACTGCCACCTACCACCACCGCCATCATCCTGTCTCTGCCCAAACAACAATAGCAAGCAACAGCAGCAGTAATAATAATAACAACAACAACCTTATCACCATCTCTGGCCGCTTGCGGTCGAAAAGACAACGCACACAGCAGACTGCACACTCACAGCCCGAATACGACGACATAAACACGCAGTACAGCCAAGAAGACGTCAGTAGCCAAGTTGTTTTGTCTGATGGCGGATCAATGAAGAATACATGGCGCAATGGCGGAAAGCTTGTCAGTGGTGAGTTAAAAAAAAAGGATGTGATTGCACACAACGTATTATTGACTGCTGCCTTTTCTGCTTAAACAGAAATCGACTTTATTTGTTCAACGCATCCAGAGCATAGGCTCAAGGTCATCGACAACGTGCACAACTGTTTACAGTTCTTGGAAAGCAACAATCAATCACTCAACTTTGACGACAGCGCCTCACTTATCAACGCACGACACCTTGAACAACAACAACAAGCCGCCATTCTGAGCAGAGCAACAAGAAGCAAAGCCAAATTGAACCTACTCGACAGCGCCAGCATTGCCGTTGCCATGATGCAGATCATTCAAAACATCAACATTGTCTATTGTCGTTATATCTATCATAAAGTCAAAAAAGGGAAAAAACGAGTTTTTGATCAAGGCGTGTTTCCATATAAAGACGAAAAAACAGCACAAAGTATGATGGCCAAGATGAAGCAAGGAGTGCGGCGATATATGCACCTGATTCGAGTTTGTGGACCTGATATTGCATTGCTGCCGTTGACATTTAACCCATGGAATCTGGAGGAGGTATTTATCTTTTATGTGGGTGTGTACATGGATCTTTGAGTGTGCTCAAGATACTGATCCACTAGAATTTCTACAGATGAGCGAAGAAACGTTTCTACATGCATTGAATAATTCGAATATTGAAGTTGTAAAGCGAAAGTTGAGGGATTTCCGTACTACCGATCGATTGGTGCCGACTGTTGTAAATAGAATTGTGCAAATGGCGAACAATGACCAACATGTTTTTCAAGGAAACAACACTCAGTGCCAGCAGCAACAACAGCTACAAAGCAGCACGCCCGTTGAAAGAATGGACTTGGAGGATTAAGGGTTTTCTTATAAAAAGATTGTGCGTTTTTTTTATTATATCAATTTTCTTTTATGTGTCTCTCTCTCCCTCTACTGTTATTCTCTGTCTCTTTACTACTATCGTCATCCCCATCCCCGTCATCATGTCACCATCATCTCCACCATAATCATGTCATCATCATGGGCACCACACTGCCGCGAAATAAAGTGTCTTGTCATCTGTTGCATTATATCTACTTGAGCTGCGTATGTTTAGCAGGAGTGTTCGGAGAAATAGTGCTTCCGGCGCCATTGGCGTTTCTTATTGGGCAAAAACGATGTGATCTCCACAAACTTTTTCAAGTGGCGATCGATGACAACGGAATGACAACGGGATTTTTGATGTGGCGACTGATGACAACGGAATGACAACGGGATTTTTAAAGTGGCGACGATGACAACGGAATGACAACGGGATTCGGCCAATGTAATTGGTGGAAAGTGGTGAGCAAGACAGAAAAATAGCAGGGGAGCCAGCTCCACTTCTTTTATCATTTATTTTTTTTACTCTTCAGCACACTCGTTTACCGCCGCTTTATATTCTATACATATCGAAGCAAGGGCGCTTGCAAAAAAAGGTATGTAGCTTAAGGGATGTTAATATGTTGGAAGAGCTGTGGCATTGGGATGGCGAATGGTCTAATCTCTTTTACTAGTAGCAATTGCTGAAACTAATAGCCATTAGACGAGGGCGGCAACGTAATCCAGCAGCAACAGCAGCACTACAGCAACAAACTTTACAACAAACGGAAGCTACTGCGTCTCACGACAACAGTCAAAGTTAATTACCATACGAACGATTTGACCCCATTGAAGCATGACCTCAGCACAAAGACAGCAAACTTGCCCAGTCTATACAGTACAGGCCGCTTTTTTTGTATACGCTATACGAGCATGCGAATAAAGAAAGACAACTTCGAGTATATGCGATTAGCTTTTTTTCAAGGAGCATCAGCCATGGCGGTACGTGTTTATTCTTTTTTTCAAAAGGCAAACTCGCAAAACCAAAAAAAGCAGCAATTCCCGCACAACCATATCTCATCATCTAATACTTCAAACAACGAACCGCTTACTGAGTAAAATGAGGACGAGCTGACGAGCGTGACGATGCTGGTCCGGTGTCTCTACCACATCATGTCGACGAGCAACAGCCAGAAACGCTACACGTGCACTTTATAGTGGATCATATATATACACCAAAGTCAGCTAAAAAAGGAGCGATTCGTGCACGGCCATATCTCACCATCGAGTACTCCAAATAACGAACAGTTTAGTGTGCCAGAATAAGGACGAGCAGACGAACGGACGCTGGTGGTCTGGTGTCTCTACCATGTCATGTCGACGAGCAACAGCCAGGAACGCTACGCGTGCACTTTATAGTGGATATATATATACACCAAAGTCAGCCAAAAAGGGCGATTCGGCACGACGATATCTCACCATCCAGTACTCCAAAAAACGAACCGCTTAGTGTGCCAGAATCAGGACGGCAGACGACGTGACGCTGGTGGTCTGATGTCTCTACCATACATGTCGACAAGCAACAGCCGAAACGGTACGCGTGCATTTACTGTGGAAATATATATATACACCAAAGTCAGCCAAAAAGGGGCGATTTGCGCACGACGATATCTCACCATCCAGTACTCCAAATAACGACCGCTTAGTGTGCCAGAATAAGGACGAGCAGACGGACGTGACGCTGGTGGTCTGTGTCTCTACCATATATTCACGAGCAACAGCCAGAAACGGTACGCGTGCATTTTACTGTGGAACATATATATATACACCAAAGTCAGCAAAAAGGGCGATTTCGCACGGCCATATCTCACCATCCAGTACTCCAAATAACGAACCGCTTAGTGTGCCAGAATCAGGACGCGCAGACGGACGTGACGCTGGTGGTCTGATGTCTCTACCATATCATGTCGACAAGCAACAGCCCGAAACGGTACGCGTGCATTTTACTGTGGAACATATATATATACACCAAAGTCAGCCAAAAAGGAGCGATTCGCGCACAGCCATATCTCGCCATCCAGTACTCCAAAAAACGAACCGTTTAGTGCAGTAGAATGAGGACGAGCTGACGGACGTGACGATGCTGATCTAGTGTTTCTACCACGTCTTATCGACGAGCAACTGCGGTAAAAAGAGCGTGTGGATTATTATAGATCAAGAGCGGCCTGAAGCAAATGAGGATTACTACAAGGATCCGAAATGGTAATATCTCATTGTTTATAGGTGAGGATTGGAAGCATACCGTGGATATAATGACATTAAAGCTATATTCTTCGAGGGCTCTGTGGAAAGCAGCGGCGATATGCAGGTAAGGAAGCAATAGCATTTTTTGAGTGTATAATATTAGCATGCTGTAATAAATTGCTATTTTATGGAATGAGATTCTGTTGTCGTGTGATGAACAAAAACAGCTCCATATACTTTAAGCTTGAAAATACATTAATAAATGTGGCATCTGCGGTTCTGGTGCATGTTCGTATATGAAAATCCAATCAGTGGAAGCTGCTGAGGGGTATATCTGCATCTATACAGCTTTGCTGCTACGGGTGGCTGGATAAATAGTGTTCCCGGTCTTTCCGCCACATTTAATTGGTCAAAAGTCCGTAACGAACGGACAATTTGGCTTTCGTCAACACAGGAATATCTTTGGCGTGGCGACAACAGTGAAGCATTCTCTTATCTACTAATCGCAGAAGCCAATGCCAATCGCCAAGAACAGCAACATTATACACAAAAAATGCCACTCCATGAACCCACAACATTGTTCATCACTTGCTTTGAGAGATAAAAGAGAACGGTCAGAGTCAATTAACTTGACGATTCAAGCGTGATAATAAAAACTACAGCACAAAGGCGACAAAACGTGCCCTAGCTTGTACAGACCGGTTTTCTTCATACTTGGATACCAAAGTGCAACGAGATGGCGACATCGTTTCCATGTCATTCGCTTTTTTTACGAGCAATAACCTTGGTAGTATTTTGGTTTTTTCCTGAACATAACTGGTGTATTGCTATAATCATGATATTCTGCGCACGACGATATCTCACCATTTACTGATGCGAATTGCAATCCATTTGAACGAGCAGCATTATCGTGAGCGTGTGGATATGACAGAACCGGCTTTGTGTTTGTGGCAATTTTTTTGGAGGAGCAACAACCGTGAACGGACCATGCGTATACTAGTGCTTTATATATCTTTATATATTACCATCAACTCCAACGAATCGAGCATGACGATACCTCACCATCCACTGATGCGAATCACAATCCGTTTGAACGAGCAGCATTATCATGACCGTGAGGACAGGGAAATACCCGTTTCGTGTTTGTGGCATCAACTCATATTCCCCTCGTTTCACCCCAAAACTCCTAGGTAATACATGTTTCTTTTTGCAGTGATCGTTCAGACCGTATATAGAAACTATTTAGAAAGTATGTCTTCTGGTCAAACTCTTAAGTATTGAGTATGAACTTATGTTTTTTTTGTTGCCTCTCTTTAATTGTCTGTTAGTAACATATATCCCAAATGGACGACGGCACTTGCTATATTGAGTATCATTCAAACGTATATTCAGCAGCGACCAAAAATATCAAGACTAGACTCTAAGAGACTATGTTTTTACCAAGAACTTGTAAAAAAAATAGGACCAAGCGTGGGTATAAACAATAATTGATAATAGCATTAGATCATAGTTGCTGAAAGCATTCTAAGCAGCACCATAATAACAATGACAATAAAAGGTCTAATTGTGCTGTGTAGAATGCTGGATCACTTTAGCATCTAGCATGATGCTGTACTAATAATAATAATACACATGTCTATGAGCTGGCAGTATCATTAGGCAATGTTGATATTGGATCTTATATATTGGCAACATTTTGTTGAAGAAAACAATGGCAATGACAATAAACGGTTTCGTTTTGACGTTTTTTAGATCAATGTTTAGAAAGAAAATATAAGGAACTACTATCATGCACTCACGATCCTCACATATACAACCCCACACAGCCAATATGAATCATTTGAGCGCCGTCTAGAGACATTGACGATGATGATGATGCATCAGATTTGGCAGTAATCTACCAAGAAGAACGACGGCAATGATGTTAAAAAGTATTCTTTTGACATTTTTAGCAGAAGAACTACAAAATAATGATGATGATGATGATGACTATTACTATCAACAGTGTAATATCCAATAAACCAAAAGAGACAGAATAAGTCAACGAGACCCAAAAGGAATTGAAATTGGTTTATTATGATAACAAAAGTTCTCACTATTTATAAGAAATGGCTTATCCTTGGCAACTACCACGGCGTGTGCATTGAACGGATGAACTGATGTTACAAATCAATTATATAGGATTAAGTAATGTATGATGCATGAGTAAAAGGTACATCTGGGTAAATGCCTCAGATAGTAGCTAATGTGAATTACGTGATCCCAATAATGACAACTTCTTCCTGAGCATAGCTGATCGGTGTTTCACCAAGATGTGTATGAATAAAGAAATGTCTGCACAAGTGAGGTTATGAGGGAAATAACAGCAATCGTTAATGACCAATTAAAGACTATGTGTTATTGATCATGTTGGATACAACAAACAGTAGTGTCACTAAGAGCTTCAGCATGCAAATGAAGCAACAGTTCCAGTGTTGTCTTCATTATCACATATACCAACACCTGCACCTGCACTGGGAATAATTTATACTGTAGCAAAGAAATATGGTGGATTTAGTAGATTTTCCGATAAACAATCATTCAATATGATAATAAGGTAATTTTATGTATTAATCACTAATAAAATATTTTCTATAGATTCAAAAAATTTGTTATGGATCAAACATGTTTATATGGATAATAAGTTATATAGATTAAATACTATGTCATCTTCAGATCGAAAGTGCTTTATTTTCTTGAATTTGAAACTTTTTAGATATTATTCTTTTTTCGGAT